GTCGATAAACTCACATTTGAACGGGATAAGGGCAAAAAGACTGTTGTATACGCTTCTATGCTAAAACGATGGTAATACGAGGTCTCGGAGTGAAAATTTAATTCACCTGGAAATTACAGATGGCGCAGGGGGTCCCTCTGCAGTCAATTAGGGCCCCAGAAAGCATGAATCCAGAGGATTTCTAGAGTTTTACTTCGATTTCTTGATAATTATTGTACGAAAACGACAGGCGGAGTATGCCATTTGGTACAATACCCAATATAATTCGGTATATCTGTCGATATAAAAACGAACATCGGCAACGTAGGCATTTAGAAAAATCTTCTTTATCGACGTTGATCAAGTTAATCGACGTGTTTCACTTCACCTTAAGGTGACATGAAAGAATATACACACCAAAAAGTCAAAATATTAATAAAACTTTTCTCCAAACTGGGCGCATCGAATTATTTGAAACTTTAACACGTGATTATGAAGGCCCCAAGGAAGAACGCGATGTCCGTGAAATTTCATTATTCAAATGAAATGTTTTTATATTTAGCCTAGACTAGAACCAAAGTCACATTTTTATTTCTTTTTTATGAAAAATGAAATTTCCCGAGCATTGCTGAAATTTCAAAAGCCTCGATGCACCCGGGTTTGAGAAAAGTTTCATAAACATTCAGACCTTTTATATACACAGAATGACCCTTTCGTATCACCTTAAGGTCGTTCTCAATTTAAATTTTTTTCACGGCGAACAAAAATATTGCGTCACATAATTTTTCCATACATTATTAGAAGATTAAGATAGAGCATTAAGGGTCCTAACTTACAAGTTGGGGTACTTAAGGGCGTTATCGATCCCCATTGTGTCGGCATTAGACTCTCTTCGGCAACATCATTCGCCACTCGGGATAAATCACGGCAACACTTAAATTCTAGATGCAGTTATAATCCAAGTAGTTGCCGAGAATGCCAGCTGACCAATGAATCGTCCCGAAGCGGACATTGTCGGCCCCTCTTTATGGATTATTGATGACCGAGGCGTCTCCAAGCCCCCGCGGCATAATAACGTAATTACGCGCGTGTTGACAAATTGAATCGATTCCAATTTATTCTTTTCATCGATTCATCCCTACCCCGACCGTTTGGTTATAAATATTTCATGAATTCCGCGTGGAAAATCGCTGGACGCTGGATCATCCACCCCTGTTCGTCTTTCCGCTCTCGCTCGACTTTCGGACGAGACCGCAGAAAGCGGATAATCTTTCATCAATCAGTATCAGGATATGTGGGGGAGCTGGACATTTACGCGTCTAGAAAATTCCAAAAGCCCCGCGGAACGATTTGCCTCAGAACCGTGTCCGATGCGCCCCTCGTGTGAGGTTAAGTCCGCTCCAAAGTGGGCTTAACTGGAAAACGGAATAGAATTACATTCAGGGCGGTATTAAATGACGGATTAAGCCTACTTTAACGAATTCAATGGCGAAAAGCTCTTTCCAGACCTCGACCTGACCCCTAAACATCGTCCCCTGCATCCGAGAGTTCCTAACCTAACCTCGAAATTTGAAAACTAAGAAATAATCATTTTGCAGTATAGGAATGGCTGATAATAAGTAAATATTAATTCTTTATAAGAGGAAGGAAATGGAACATAATATTAAATTGTAGTTAAGCTTTTTAACCGCTTAAAGTGTAACCAAAGTGTCATATATACGTACCGAAAAGTCGGAATACTTTTAAAGCTCTTACATGGGTGCGCCGAATAATCTGAAACTTTAACGCGTGATTATTGAGGTTATAATTAAGGACTTGAAACTCACGGTAGTATTCAATGAAATATCTCTTTGGTTCAATGAACGTACGAATGTGTGCGTGTGTCTGGTATTTGGCGCGAAACTCTGCCGAATTACTTGATGCGACTCGATAATTCTTCGGGTGTGGTTTTCACGTTCATTTTGTCGGGCCGAACGAGCAGGGAAAGGGTTCAATCTAAATGAAAGCTCTCTCTCTCTCGCTCCCGCGGCAAAGATGAAGGGACCCGATCCGGGTATATTCGGAGGATGTGTTAAATTCAGTGGATACGCGCCGAACGTCCCCTCCCGTACGTCGGACGAATCCGATCGTATTTTCATCGACGCCAAATTGGCAATATCCTCACCGGTGACGATTCTTGAATTATGCAACAGCCTCGGGGAATGGTCGCTTCAAAGTTTACCCATCCCGGAGCCGAGGGCTCTTTTCACCGATGGCGCGCGTGCGCCGTGGGCTGCTCGCTCCTGATTGGCTGCGACAGAAGGAACTCTTCTGATTGGCTGCGCCAGAAGGAACTCACACCTGATTGGCTGCGCTAGAAAGAGCTCACTCCTGATTGGCTGCGCCAGAAGGAACTCTCCTGATTGGCTACGCCAGAAAGAAGTCACTCCTGATTGGCTGCGTCAGATTGAACTCACTCCTGATTGGCTGCGTCAAAAGAAACTCTCCTGATTGGCTGCGCCAGAAGGAACTCTCCTAATTGGCTACGCCAGAAAGAAGTCACTCCTGATTGGCTGCGTCAGATTGAACTTACTCCTGATTGGCTGCGCCAAAAGAAACTCACTCCTGATTGGCTGCGCCAGAACGAACTCACTCCTGATTGGCTGCGTCAAAAGAAACTCTCCTGATTGGCTGCACCAGAAGGAAGTCACTCCTGATTGGCTGCGCCAAAAGGAACTAACTCCTGATTGGTTGCGCCAGAAGGAACTCTTCTGATTGGCTGGGCCAGAAGGAACTCCTCTGATTGGCTGCGCTAGAAGGAACTCCTCTGATTGGCTGCGCCAGAAGGAACTCATTCCTGATTGGCTGCGTCAAACAAAACTCTCCTGATTGGCTGCGCCAAACGAAACTCTCCTGATTGGCCGCGTCAAAAGAACTCTACTGATTGGCTGCGCCAAAAGAAGCTGGCTTCCGATTGCTTGCACTGTCGAGTCGCGTGAATCGAAGTGGACCATCACGTACGACCAATTGGATCAACCGTCATTAGCGTGAATATTCTTAACTATGATTAATAAGTTAATCTTGGAGATTAATTCTAATCACGTGATAAGTAATTCTTGATTAAGAATTTTAACTCGAATGTTGTTGGATCCAGACTCGCGACTCTTAATTTTTAATTTTTTCAGTTTCAAGAGCGAATCGCATGTCGATTTAAAATTGCAGCGCGAAATATTTTGCCGTACTCCAAATACCGATTGACATGCTATGTAAAATTCCCCGCAATTGAGAAAAGATAGTTGTGTCGTAAGACATATTGTCCTTCACTCCATTTTGGATTTTTGGAAGAAGTCGATCGATATTACGCCGACGTGTATTAAATTGGATTATCAGCTGCTGATTTATTTAATTTAATGTAATAATACGAGGGCGTAATTGGGATAATATGTAGGAAAAGGGTTTTGAGGGAATTTCGGGGAAGAAGGGTCCTCGAGTCTCGACTTCCTCCCGCAAGATGGCGGGAGACAACGGGAGCTAAAAGTAGAGCGTCGTGCCCGGAATCGAGGGTGCTCACCCCGATAATAAAATGATAACAGCCCTCCTTCAGGCTTCCCTAACCCGGACCGTCGTCTTCCCCGCCCACTGTTGTATATAAATGTCGGTATTATTGTAACGAAGCGCTTTTGATGCCAATTTCATAGCTCTCCTGCGGAGTCGGGGGAGGTAGCGAAGTGTGCGAGACGCACACCGATAGAGACAGGAGGAACTTCGTTCCACGTGTGATTATTGCCGTTATATGCCGTGATATCCAACGATCTGCGCGGACCGGAATCGATCACCGAGTCCGCAGACCGATTTCGTATTTATAACCAGTTCTCCGTTTCACTCTTTTCCTCTCTTCGTAGAGATGGTGCCAAACGGCTCGCGAAAGCGATCAAGCCCAAGCCATCGCTATCTCGCGAAACAACCACTCGTTCTCCTCGTTAACACTATTTCTACCAAAGGTGTCAAAAGACACCTTTTAAATTTTCACCTTGAAATTATTTTCAAAGTTTAATAATTTCTTCTCAATCAAGGTGAAGTGAAACACGTCGAGGAACTTCATCAACGTCGATAAAGAAGATTTTTCTAAATGCCTACGTTGTCGACGTTTGTTTTTATATTGACAGCTGTATCGAATTACATTGAATATTGTACCAAATGGCATACTCCACCTGACGTTTTCGTACAATAATTATAAAGAAATCGAAGTAAAACTCCAGAAATCCCCCGAATTCATGCTTTCTGGGGGCCTAATTGACTGCAGAGGGACCCCCTGCGCCATCTATGATTTCCAGGTCAATTAAATTTTCACTCCGAGACCTCGTATTCCCATCGTTTCAGCAAAGAAGCGCATACAACACTTTTTTTGCCTTTATCCCGTTCAAATGCGAGTTTATCGATTACCAGAGTGTTCTAAATTGTCGTAAAATTGTCCTGACCCTTTCGATTCTCATATCAGAGCCTTCGATAATTGTATATTGATCGAAATATCAGAGCTCGACGCCATTTTGGTTCTGGTCTGGACTGAGTTAAAAAATTTTTTTGAAAAATCCAAATTTTGAATGTGTCAGGACAATTCTTAGATGATCAGGAGTGATGTGTCAAAGTTTCGGACAGTTTGGTCTAATACCCTTAAAAAAAGTGTTGTATTCGAATCGACTGATTTGAAGGATGTTTCACTTCACCTTAATGTTTTGAGTTTTCGTACAATAATTGTTAAATTTATTTAGCGGTATCATTTTCCTCCAGCTCATCGAAATCTTTTGGTCGAAATAGGTATACACAAAATCGTGGCACAAATAGTGTTAACAACCTCGTCTCAGTCGGACATCGTGTTTTTTTCCAATGTGACAATAAAATACCTGGAAGGAATACATCGTATAATTTATATTTCTGAAATTGGACACGTGAATGTGATAAGTTTAGTCAGTTTGAACTTTCGAGTTTGAAATTTTCCCGAGCTTGCTTCATCCACGTGAAATTAATTCAACAACCCAAGATGGCTACTTGGTCCTGCTCTTTTTGTCGTCCTTCTTGTTCTTGCAGAATTTGCTGGGGTCTGGTGGACAATACATGACCCTCTCCGCAGGACAAGGATGGGGTTGTTTCGGAGGACACGTCTTCCCCGGGATCTCGTCCTGCTCCTTCGGGATGTCCACACAGGGACAGGACCCAGCGGGTACTTTGGGAGGTGGAGGACAAGGACACAGAACAAGGGGCTCGCAAGGAGGTTTGGGCAGAGGTTCTGGTGGAGGACAAAGGCCAGGATCGATGACGTTATCGACATCTCTAATCACGGGCTTCTGGACAGGTGGACAGGGCGGGGGTTGGGCGAATTTGGGTGGTTCGCAGATGATGGGCCCGTACTCCATCTTGGGAGGTGGTTTTTGTGCTTTTGGTTGAACGCACTTGCCCACAGGAAGACATTTCGTGTGGCACATCTTGGCCCTCTTCGTCCTGGCTTCCACCCTCCTCTCTTCGGTGTCCTTGCTCCTGTTTGGGCACTTTTCTCTGGGTGGGTCACACTCCCCACACGCTTTCTTCCGTGGAGGACAATTCTCGGCGGGGCTGCACTTCTGCCCTCTACTGGAGCAAATTTCCTCCACTGGCTTGCAGTTATCGGATCCCGACTTCAAGGACGCTGCCAGGGCGAGGGATGCGTGAAAATTCCGCGTCTGCGTTTTGGTCGGTCGGTGGTAAGTGGACATTTTCCGGCGCTTGAAGAACCCGAAGAAGGACACCTTCTTGCAACACGATGACGATTTTTTGGGGACAGGGTGTCGAGGTCTTTTGGGGGTGCAGGATTGAGAGGCTGGTCGGGAAGAACATTTTGATGGGGGAGGTGGACAAGGTGGAGGTGGACACGGAGGTGGACAAGTCGGTTTCGGTGGTGGACATGGTGGGGGTGGACAGGGTGGAGGTGGGCACGCCGGTTTTGGCGGTGGACAAGGTGGTTTAGGTGGTGGACATGGTGGGGGTGGACACGCCGGTTTTGGTGGTGGACATGGTGGGGGTGGACACGCCGGTTTTGGTGGTGGACATGGTGGAGGTGGACAGGGTGGAGGTGGACACGCTGGTTTTGGCGGTGGACAAGGTGGTTTCGGTGGTGGACAGGGTGGAGGCGGTGGGGGTGGGCATGGTGGAGGCGGAGGTGGACAACAAGGAGGTGGCGAGGGTGGAGGACAGGGTGGGGGACAAGGAGGACAAGGCGGTGGGGGTGGGCAACAAGGTGGAGGTGGGCATTTCGGCAACTTTGGCAGTTTTGGTGGTGGAGGGCACTTCTGGAAACAAATCTTCACGACGTTCTGCACGGGAGGAGGTGGAGGTGGTGGGCAACATGTAGGTTTTGGAGGTTCTGGACAAGGTTTAGGCGATTCGCAAGGTGTTGGTTTAGGTGGGGGACACTGTTTCGCGGGGCGGCAGGAATTTGGCTTGTAGCAAGATTGTTTTCGGGATGGCGGTTTTGGTGGAGGGCAAGGTGGAGGACAAGGCGGGGGACAAGATGGCTTCGGTGGTGGACAAGGTGGTGGACAGGGTGGTTTCGGTGGTGGACAACATGACGGCGGTGGTGGACAAGGTGGTTTCGGCGGTGGACAAGGTGGCGGACAAGATGGCGGCGGCGGACAAGGTGGCTTTGGAGGTGGACATGGTGGCCTTGGAGGTGGACATGGTGGCTTCGCTTGTCCACAAGGTTCATCTTTTGGCTCGGAACACGACGACTTCGAACGTGGGCACTTCGAAGGTGCAAACTTGGGCGGTGGACTCTTACAGTCATTATTTTGAGACGCGTACCCTCTTTGGGGCAACTTCAGCAATTTTGTCAGTTCACTCGAACCCCTCGATTTCGCTTCGGTACTGAAATTTCTCAGATTCAATGTGCCTATCTTCGACCTTATCAGGGTAGGTCCGCACGTTCCATGTCTCATTTGACCCAGGAATAATAAATCTCTGATCTGCTCTTCCAATTTGTAAGTGCATCTTCTAAAAACCACCTGCAGGTGAAAACAAAATTAGTACACGCAGAATTTCGAACATTTCTTCCTCTGTGTTTCACACCACAATTAATAAAAACTGATCATTTAACTCTTCAACGGCTCATTATAAATGCATTAAAAATTGTAACGTTCGTAAATTTTTGTTATTTCTTGAGAAACGATTCGAATTAAATGAAGCCAACGTCTTACTTTGGTCAAGGGCGAATTTTGTATCATATTCCTTCTTGCTTCCGGAATCTTCAACTGCAACTGCAAAGGATACGCCTTTTTAAAATTTTCTAAAAGATATCTCGACCATTCAATGAAAACAATTATTTAATCTTATTCCAGACGAACGATTTTCTCATTTTATGACTTTATTAATTCCCCAGGCCATTCAAGTTTTTATTGCCAACTACTTTTATATTACTGTGTAATAAGACAAGTTGTTAAAATATTTTTTTACATATGGACATTTATTGACGTGAACAATTTGAGGTACTATTACCATTTCATGGTTCACTAGTAATTTACAATATACATATAAATCGAACGGTAGAAGACAGAACAAATTCACGATAACAGATTTCCAGAATTTTGCAAATTCCTCAGGTAGTGATTTTTCCGGAAACAGGACTTTCCTTCATCTGCATTATTTTCACATTTTCTTCAGGATCACATTTTTCCGGAAACGCTCGATAGATCCCGATATTTGTGAAATTCGATTTCAATGGTCGTTTTTTTAATATAACGTTTCGGGGATCGATTTGCAAGTCGTGCGAAAATATCGAACTGCACTTACAATCATCGTCCTTATCAGGACACCGTGGTATCCTGATTACAGGTGGACATTTCTTTTTCTCGCAAGGATCGGGCTTCCCGTTTCCAGGACATTCTTCTGGAGGATCTGTTTGGCAAGGATTCTCTTTTTTATTGCAAGGATCCTTTTTCTTCTTTTTACAAGGATCTTCCTTTTTTTTACATGGATCCTTTTTATTATCATTACATGAATCTTTGGCTTTTACGCAAGGATCTGCTTTATTCACCTTGCAGAAATCGTCATCCTCGTGCATAAATAATACCTCACTGATCCTGACATTGTTTTTCAAATCCGCCCAAGAATCCTTAATCAAATCCTTACAATCATTGCCATTGATCTCGCAAAAATCATTTTTAGAGTTTATCCCATCAGTTCTTAGAGACTCTTTTGACAATGTTCTTCCATTGTCCTTGTAAAGTAATTCCAACATGTTTCCATATTCTACAATGAGGTCTTCGTCCTGCGAATTCGAATTCAAATTGATGCCGCCATTGCTGTCCTTCATCCAAAACTGATTTCCATAAACGCTATCGAAATTGTTCGACCCGATTGTCAAAGTCGATACGTTCCGATTCATCTCGATCTCCCTTCTACAAAACAAAACTTCGAAACTCTTCGACTTAAACAAATCGTGAACATTATTTTGGAATTCCTTCGTTTCGTACAAATTCCCCGGTTTCGGAGAAACTTCATTTTTTAAACTTTCCCCGCTTTTATAATTAATTTCAATATTCCCGACGCCATCGCGATCAGGAGCATAGATTTCCATCTGAGTAAGAAATCCGAAGTCTTCGCTCGTCCTTTTCGAGAAATTCATGTAACCGGGATTATCACAAAATGGCGGCGACGTCACATTTCCATTCACAGGGGAAAAAACCTTCCTTTTCATCGAATCAGCTTTCTGAATCGGACGCTGTCCACTACCTTTACCTCGTTTTCGTTTCACTTTTGAGTTCTTCGAATTCTGATTTATCCCCTTTTTACTAATCATCACTTTTTTACTGGGTTTCTTCTTCGCTGCGGAATTTCCAGTCCGGCATGAATTCGGCAAAGTGACGGTCAACTTCGGCTTCGGTTTTGATTTTATGCCCTCAAAATTGTGCAGAAAATTCGGGCTTTTGTTGGTCAGCGTGGAAGGAATAACCTCTTTAGGCAATCCCGCAAATTTTCCGGATCTCCTTTTGGATCCGCTTAAAAGAACTTTATCGAATTTAATGGACGCTTTTTTCGCTGTAACGTGAATTTCGCTGTTACAGTTTCCCTTCTTTTTACGCCTGGAACTATTCCCTTGAGGAAGCTTCCTTTTCGAAAAATTCACGTCGTTCTTGCCGTTTTTCTTCTTTTGCAGATATATGCTGGGGTTTTTGGCCTTCTTCCGTATCTTTTGTTTGTTTGTCTTCGGAGAAGCGCCGTAGGAGCATTCTGGTACCGCGGCGTCCGCGGCCGCCATCTTGGTTCCGCCTTGGAGTTGCAGCAGCCATTTGTGGAATTCCACCTTGTTCTGGCTGGTTTGGCAGCAATTCCTGGATGGACCCATTTCTCCCAAGACTCGGGACACCTTGTGTATCCTGCTGCGTGTATAATTCGCCTGGGGACAGACGGAGAGACAGAATGTCATTCGTGGGGATTTCAATATCGCTTATATTACATTCTGCTCGAGAAGAAGAAAATAATGCGACGCTACTTCTCTCTTTTTTTTTTCCGTATACATTTTCTATACACTTTCTATACATCGTTTTTCTTTAGAAAGCTGATCTTAGCGAATTGCTTTCCTATTTACCACCGTAACGTGAGAACGATTATCTTGGGGAAGAATTTTTTTTTTATTAAATTTTCAGATGTTGGTCCAAACCTATTGCTTCGTTCTATTACAATATTTCCTGATTAATATCTTGTACAATTTTTTGCAAGTTTTGCATTGTATTTGGATCAGGTTTTTCTTCGTCTCAAAAATGTTGCTTCTTCTTTTATTCATCCGATATGCACTTCAATCGTTAAATATTTCGTTTCTTGTTCAAAATTAACAAATTTCCAATTATATCCGTGTTTGCATCTGCTGTCACTTTTTCATTGTCTCGTCGGTGTGGATTTTCCTTCTCCTTGAATCTTCATTGTTCGTCGGCATTAACAATAAATCAGGAATTACTCCGTTCCTTTTATCCACTGAGATTACTCCTTTAAGTTCAATCCACCAATCGCCATTTTAAATCCCTAACTAATAAAACATCCCTCTTCGTTCACTTAACATATTTTCATAAATTTCCACGGAATGACATGTAAACATATTAAACACATACTGTTAATTTCTACATGCCAATTCTACACCTAGTTTAGTAAAATGGGTATTTAAAAATAGGATTTGATTTTTTTAGTATGATGCAATAACCGTCATCGTTTCATCAATCCGTGAATGACTAAGAAGCGTTTCGTTCCTTAGTTTTTCACGAATAGCTTCATTGTTAAGGGTAAATTTAAAATCCATTTACCTGTTCAGAAAAGCCGTTCGTGTTCGCTGCTTTCTGTTTTACGATTCCTGGGCCCTGAAGAGCTGGTGAATTTTTCAAGACGCTCGTCGATGTTCCCGCTTCGATCTACGTCAGAACAATCATATCCAATGTATTACCGATTACCTCTATGAATAAGAAACTTTCCTAAGATCGATATTACTCACATCGGACAATTCGAGGATCGAGTTATCCCGAACGACGGGGCTTTGCATGGCTCCCTGATTCATGACTCCATGTTCTTGTCCTAGTTTCTTTTCTGCCCACTGCGACATAAATATAATTGCTCCATGTTATAACTCATGATCTCATTTAAGAAATGATTTTTCATATTACACATTTCGCAGTGTTAATTCGAAGTACAATGATCTAAAGTAGAATTACTAACTCGTTCCGTGTTTAACCCTTCCTCGGAAAAGTGCGATAAGAGATTTCCCTGTTTTTGTCCGCCATCTTGAATGCAGTGGCCTTCGGAGTGCGTCCTCTGTTCAGCGAATAAAGATCTAAATTGAATTATTTTCACTCTATAATTAAGTAACAGCTTGTACAAAATTCTTTATTAAAACCTACGGTTAGATCTGCCTCTTGGGCTGGTAGTTTATTTTCGACCAATGAGGGACGCGGAAATTTCCCGCCATTTTGAACCGCCAGGTGATCGAGCTTCGTGCATGACTTCAGGAAATTTGACAATGTATGACCAACTTCTCCAACTGTGTTAATTACCGTTGCCTATGGTAAAAGAATTACACTTGGGAATGTGCATTTTATTTCTATTCAATTTTCTTTTAATTATAATTTCAGCGTGAAATGCAAAAGGAAATTGTGGAATTAAGTAAAGACTAAGTACGAAATATGGGCAAACAAGTGTCATTGGTAAATATGTTCAGGAAATGGATGCTAATTAGACATTTAGACGGTAAAAAAGTCTCGTTACCTTTAACTGATCATCTCCGCCATGACATTTTCGCTGCCCTAGTGTTTTCACAACTGATTTCGCGGCCCGGGAAAACATGTTAAGCTTTTTACAGGGTTACTTGAAATTTAATTTTAACGGCTTCATCGGTCCTGGTTTTTTTCCAAATGAAGAGTGAAGATCAAGAGGTGTCCGGTTTCCTGGCAACCACTGAAAACGTTTTTGATACCGACGCAGTTGGCTGTGATAAAGGACATTACGTGTCAAAAATGGATTATGATCCTTTAAAACATAAAAAAGTATTCCTAAACCTGTATCCTCATTTTTAACCCCATTTTATATGTTGTTATCGAAATTTCATTTATCATCTACGGAATTTTCGTTTCCATAAGTCGGAGGGATCCTGAGAGAAATTGTGGGAAATATCGATGTATTATGTGTCGATAAAATGGATGTTTGCAGTGAACGCCGACAGACGGAGACTCTCTATAATGTAGAACTTGAAAATAGCTTCAGACGGTTCTCTGCCGGTAAGATAGAATTCCCATACTTTCATGGTAAAACCTTATTCCTGTGTTGATAAATGCACCTTAATGCATATTTACAATCGTGGGTATAAAATCCTTGAGTATAATTCTCTTTGTTATCCGCAGTAAGTAAAGGAAACTTCCTAGTTCGAATGGTGGCGACACCATGCGACGAATTTGCTAACCAATCCTTTCAAATCTACCGATAATAAAGGACGAGAGAATATAAACGTTGCATAAAAAATTCATTTTTTATCCGTTCCTGTGTTGATAAATGCACCTTAATGCGTATTTACAATCGTGGGTATAAAATCCTTGAGTATAATTCTCTTAGTTATCCGCAGTAAGTAAAGAAAACTTCCTAGTTGGAATGGTGGCGCCACCATGCGACGAATTTGCTAACCAGTCGTTTCAAATCTACCGATAATAAAGGACGAGAGAATATAAACGTTGCATAAAAAATTCATTTTTTATCCGTTTCCGCATAACAGTTTTCAACTTTATCATACTTAATAAAGCTTGATGACATCAAACTCCACTCTGAGTGTAGGTACTTTATTCCTACGTATTACAAGCGCACAATTTATGATTACACGAAGTTAAAAATATTAAAATATGCAAAAGTTATAGACGTAGACACGAAAGCACCGCAAGATCCATCTTATTCCAGACTTATGCGTTTTTATATCATTTTTTAGTATTTTCGTCTTCTTCTCAATAGCCCTCGTCGCTCCATGTAATTTCGTAATCGGGATACTTTTTCTTCAACAAGCCGACCGATACTCTATGATCAGCTTTTCCGAATCCCTGAAAAATGAAGACAAGAGTTACTTAATCATACCATATATTTATACATTCATCTTAATTTAGGGAACATTAACACGTGATTATGGAGGTCATAACAAAGGTCACGACACTCACGAAATTTAATTTTTCGAAGAAAACCGTCTTTTCTGGTTCTTGTTCAGGACGAATACGAAATTTTCTTTTAAAAACTGAAATTTCGGAAGTTTTAAGACCTTCAGCAGAACCTCTATAATCACGTGTTAAAATGTAAAATTATTCGATGCACCAAGTTTGTTAGAAAAGTTATATAAATATTTTCACTTTCGATGTATGACCCTTTCATAACGCCTTAGTACGTGAAATCGAAATGTCGATTCTTCATCGTCATTAAATATACTCTCACTTCAGGTAATCTAAGGATTTCCTCACGTTTCGGTAATATTTCAACGCATTACTCTTAAGAAAAGTCTATCTCTTCAGCGATCTCTGGTGGCGGAAAATTGAAGCAGCGCGAAAATTGCTTCTCTCTCGGCGTCCGTACTTTTAGACGATTCTAGAGTCCCGGAAGCTGAATCTTTTACGTCCGCCTTCCGAGGCCGGCACTTTCCGTTCGTCTTGCAAATTGCACGGACACGAGGCGTTCGAAATTCGACTTTTTGCATCTTGACGAGGGTCCGATCGTTGAAAAGAAACCCGCCGCGCCGGAAGTGGTCCGCAGGTTATGAGTCCGCTCGTAAGAAACATGAAATACGGAAGTCGACCGAAAGGTAAATGAAGGTAGACACTGCACCAAGTAACCGGGGCCAAGGTTTACGATGTTTACTTTTTTCCTTTTACAGGGTCCTGCTCCAGTTTCCACCTTGCGAGGAAAATAAATGGAAAAAGCCCCATGGCTCGTCTCATGGCGATGGCTCCTGGCCCCTCTTCGAGGTATATCGATATCACCTCCTTTAACAAATTCCTCCCACTTCCTGGACCGTTTGCCATCCGGAAGAATGGGAACGAATTTCAAGAACGAAATTCCAAAAAGGGTGCTACTTCATTTTCTTGAGTTCACAATATTCTCCGTCAATTTTCAAGTGAAACATTTCATTGATTCTTCTATTTGCAGATTTTTCACCATTCATATTCATCCTTGCGTTTTAGTATTGAGACTTAATTTTTATTAATCCGTAACTTTCTCCGCCATTTTTCAAACGAGATTTCACTTTTTTTTTTACAGCGTTTACACTATTTATTGAGTTCACAATATTCTCCGTCAATTTTCAAGTGAAACATTTCATTGTTTCTTTTTTCTTTTGCAATTTTTTCACCGTTCATATTCATCCTTGCGTTTTAATATTGAGACTTAATTTTTATTAATTCGTAACTTTCTCCGCCATTTTTCAAACGAGATGTTTCACTTTTTTTTTTACAGCGTCTACACTATTTATTGAGTTCACAATATTCTCCGTCAATTTTCAAGTGAAAAATTTCATTGTTTCTCCTTTTTGCAATTTTTTCACCGTTCATATTCATCCTTGCGTTTTAGTATTGTGACTTAATTTTGTTTAATTCATAACTTTCTCCGTCATTTTTCAAACGAGATGTTTCACTTTTTTTTTACAGCGTTTACACTATTTATTGAGTTCTCAATATTCTCCGTTAATTTTCAAGTGAAACATTTCATTGTTTCTTCTTTTTGCAGGTTTTTCACCGTTCATATTCATCCTTGCGTTTTATTATTGTGACTTAATTTTATTTAATTCGTAACTTTCTCCGTCAATTTTCAAACGAGATGTTTCACTTTTTTTTTTTACAGCGTTTACACTATTTCACTATTTATTGAGTTCACAATATTCTCCGCCAATTTTCAAGTGAAACATTTCATTGTTTCTTTTTTTTTTCAATTTTTTCACCGTTCATATTCATCCTTGCGTTTTAGTATCGAGACTTAATTTTTATTAATTCGTAACTTTCTCCGTCAGTTTTCAAACGAGATGTTTCACTTTTTTTTTTTACAGCGTTTTCACTATTTACATTCATTTTTGCGTATTAGTAATGAGATTTATATTTATCTTTGTGTACTAGGATTGAGGCAATCGGCGGAAAGATTACCATCACCGTTAGTGCTTTATTCTCTCAGGTAATTGTTGATATTCAAAGTGAAATGATGATAAGAAGTAAATTTCATTTCCAACGGGCGGCCATTATTTTAATTGTACATTTTATGTACTTTCACGGCAGTGATTCGGGAGAAACTCGCATTAAAAAGAGTTCAGTGTGCTAGTCTCGTTACCAAATTATTTACAACTAACCTGGGAATATCCGTACACTTTGATGTTTTTTTTCGCAGCGTCGTGATCGATTCTTCCACCTCCCAAACATTCGGTGTCCAGTCCAGAGCCAAACTTCTTTAGCTGCTCGCCCACCTCGTCGTAAATGTCAGCTGTGTAACAAAGAAACAAAAGTTTAATCAACAAACCGAGACCCAACTACCAATTGGATGAACATAGAGCTAAGTAAAACTTGACGGAACCGCGAACTGCGATTCGGTTTGCCGCAAACTTTAAATCGGATTAAGATAATTTATCGGGTAATATCGACGAGGGTTAATTGCCCGATACGATCTGCAATGAGCACTATAAATCGAATTACGATTGCCAGAAGGTGGGAATTTTTTGGCAGATTTTCTTTTTTTTTTCCATTCCAGAATAATTTTAGGCTCATTTCATTCTTTGATGTATAACTGAAAAATTATGTGATACCACGATATCAAAATGATCAGACTATAATTTCGTGCGGAGAAACAAACCATGACATAATATCGACAAGGTTTAATTGCCCGATACGATCTGCAATGAGCACTATAAATCGAATTACGATTGCCAGAAGATGGGAATTTTCTGGCAGATTTTCTTTTTTTTTTCCATTCCAGAATAATTTTAGACTCATTTCATTCCTTGATGTGTAACTGAAAAATTATGTGATACCACGATATTAAAATGATCAGACTATAATTTCGTTCGGAAACACAAACCATGACATAATATCGACAAGGTTTAATTGTCCGATACGATTTGCAATGAGAACTATAAATCTAATTACGATTGCCAGAAGGTGGGAATTTTCTGGCAGATTTCCTTTTTTTTTCCATTCCAGAATTATTTTAGGCTCATTTCATTTCTTGATGTGTAACTGAAATATTATGTGATACCACGATATCAAAATGATTAAATTATAATTTCGTTCGGGGAAACAAACTATGACATGCTCCGAGAGAAAAAAGGTCCATTGGACCACAGAAATATTTTGTTAATTCAAAGAATAATTATTTGGCTCGAACTGAAATAAATTGTCATAATTCCGAGGAAACGTTGCATCCGGTTTATTCGAGTTTGAGTAAAATCGTTATTCTTTGAATTAACAAAATATTTCTTTCATTCAATGATTTTCTTTTTCTCAGTGGATTATGACAATATTCGTCAAAATTAGTGACAAAGAATTAAAATGTTATTCGAGGGGAAAGAACCCTGTGTATCTCCGATAAAAGAGAATAACACATACGTGGATTGGCATAACATCAACATATTGACAATCCATACAGGTGAACGGAGATATTTTCAGAAAATACATTTGCAGAGTCACAATGACAAATATGACGGTTTCATTCTACGTCAAAAATTGGTACTCGAAGATCGAATGCATATGCAAATATATGAAATGCATGTTTGTGCAAGGAAATGGATATCCAGGGGTTTTATGCAGTGGAGGAAGATTTAATATTCACGGGCTGCTTCGGTCGATTTCGCAAAAAAAAAATAGAGGAAAAAGAGTAACGAGAAGCTTCGACATCGCGCCATTGGATGCTCGGACACGTCAGACATGTTTGGACATATCCGTCAATAAACAGTGTCACGATAGCGCGACATCGTCATTTCTTATTTCCTCGAGTTAGCATTACGTCCGAAATAGCTCTGCTGTGCAGCAAATGTACGTCAGGAATGAAAAACATTCCGAATGGAAAAGGAAGAAGGCCTTGGGAAGTAGGTCGATTTCGTGTGCTGGTGACATGGGATCAATGTGTACGGATATACACCTGCGAGGTGATCCAATTTTCGAATATCGGTTAATAGACTGGCTGCCCGCAATGATTATTCTCATAATTCCTCCCCAGATGTAGAAATGCATATATACGAATTGATATATACAGAGCGAGTCATATGAAAAATCCAAACCAGGAATCGTACGGCTGGAAAGAAATTTGTTGTGCCGTGAAATAAAATCGGTAGGATCGTTACAATATTTTATAATTAAATCATGAACCAACAATCCTCATAATTCCACCCCAGATGTAGAAATGCATATGTACGAATTGATACATTCAGAGCGAGTCATATGAAAAATCCAAACCAGGAATCGTACGGCTGGAAAGAAATTTTTTGTGCCGTGAAATAAAATCGATAGGATCGATACAATATTTTATAATTAAATCATGAACCAACAATCCTCATAATTCCACTCGAGATAATTAAATGCATATGTACGAATTGACAGATACAGAGCGAGTCATATGGAAGGTCCGAATCAGGAATCGTGCGGCTGAAAAGGAATTTTTTGTGCCGTGAAATAAAATCGGTGGGATTGATACAATATTTTATAATTAAATCATGAACCATCAATCCTCATAATTCCACCCCAGATGTAGAAATGCATATGTACGAATTGATACATTCAGAGCGAGTCATATGAAAAATCCAAACCAGAAATCGTACGGCTGGAAAGAAATTTTTTGTGACGTGAAATAAAATCGGTAGGATCGTTAGAATATTTTATAATTAAATCATGAACCAACAATCCTCATAATTCCACCCCAGATGTAGAAATGCATATGTACGAATTGATACATTCAGAGCGAGTCATATGAAAAATCCAAACCAGGAATCGTACGGCTGGAAAGAAATTTTTTGTGCCGTGAAATAAAATCGATAGGATCGATACAATATTTTATAATTAAATCATGAACCAACAATCCTCATAATTCCACTCGAGATAATCAAATGCATATGTACGAATTGACATATACAGAGCGAGTCATATTAAAGGTCCAAACCAGGAATCGTGCGGCAGAAAATGAATTTTTTGTGCCGTGAATAAAATCGGTGGGATCGATACACTATTTTACAATGAAGTCATGATTTAAGAACAATTTTAGTGATTCGACCAGATATTCTTCTGCGGGGAGGAACCACTACCTCAAACGCTCCTTGTGGTCCCATAATTTATATATCGGGCATAAAAAAGAACGGCTGCCTACCGATCGTTTCTCCGACTACAGGATCTTAAATATTTTCGCACGCGCCACTTTCGCCGAGGAAACTAATACATGCACATGGGGGAGTACATGGGAACATATGAAGTACGTGACCGTACAGGGAAATGGACGTTGTTTATGGGTGCTTGGTTACACGGGTTTCTCTCGCGAGGAGCGAGTCTCCACATTTCTTTACACTCCAAAACGTCAAGACCCATGGGAAGAATGGGCGTTATGAAGAAAAGATTTAAGGCTGGCGTATAAACGTACCATAGCTGTAAAAGGTGATTTATGGGGGGGGGTAAGTTTGTTCCTTCTCATCTTAAAAGTATAAACTTCAGGCGTGAACAACATCCCCAGCCATGAAGAAAACGCTCCCTGCTACTTCATTGCTATTAAAAAATTATACTCGCGTAAAAATCGATTATAAAAAACGAAAAAAAAATGTACAGAAAATCCTGAACATTTTTTCAAAATTACTGGACTACACATCGTGTACTAAAAAGATATATTTATAAACAAAGATGCCGAAGAAGACATTGAAGACCCTCCTAGGTAACGGCAAGCCATTATCTTGTAATTATACATGATATAACAAAAATGAATTTTTCTCGCGGCGAAATACAATTAATTTTTTGTTTAATTTCGTTTCATTTTTTAGCGGAAGCCGTGGAAATTGTATTTCTTCGGCAAAACACTAACGTGCTCGATGGTGTAATTTGTTCATGTGTATCGACGCGGCCTGGACGCCCCCACAAAAAAGCAGCTGGAAAAGCAGGAAAAGGGGGAGAAAAGGGAAGGAAAAGGGAGGAAAAGAGAGATCCCTAGCTCGCGTGAAAATTCTAGGGGAAAACCTGACGACCGGTCATTCGACCACCGTAAGCTGCCCGCCATGGATACGGCGACTGTAAAGATTCCCAGCATATAGGAAACTGTATACGCAGGGAGACCTTAATTGCTAATGCACCGGCTTTAAGGGCCGCAAAGAGGACGTAAACTCGTAATTGCTGCTAGCTCCACGTCGACGTTAAAGCTGCCACTTAAATGCCGGAGGATAATTCCCGATCGCTGATATCGGCACACCACCGCTCGAGGATATTATCGGTAAAACAGCTGGAACGGTTAAACGCTGCGACATTAACGCGCCGACTTCAAGCGGAATGATCATTTAATGTGGGATCCTTAAGGCGATATGAAAGGGTCATTCTATATATACAAAACGTGAAAATATTTATATAATGAAATTTCACGAGCATCGCGTTCTTCCTTAGGACCTTTATAATCATGTGTTGAAGTTTCAAACAATTCAATGCACCCAGTTTGGAGAAAAGTTTAATATGAATGATCATTTAGCGTGGGATCCTTAAGGCGATATGAAAGGGTCATTCTATATATACAAAACGTGAAAATATTTATATAATGAAATTTCACGAGCATCGCGTTCTTCCTTAGGACCTTTATAATCACGTGTTGAAGCTTCAAATGATTCAATGCACCCAGTTTGGAGAAAAGTTTAATATTATCACCCTTAAGGCGATATGAAAGTGGCGTATGACTCTCGCTTATGACACTTTTCTTCGAATTGGATGTATCGAATCGTTTAAAACTTTACCACGTTAATGTGGAGGTCCTGTGAGAGGTTTTGACATTTACGAAATTTCATTTTTTTCCAAGCTTGTTCATATGAATTTTTCAATTCTCTTTACAAGAAATGAAATTCTTGTAATTTCAAAGAGCAAGAATATTGTAACGTCTACATGACCCTGTCATCCGTCGTAAAAAGTGTAAATATTGCATCCATCTTGATCTATTTCAGAGGTTCAATTACACGTTCTCGCTAAAAATAGGAACAAATGGGTTTTGTAAATGTCTGTCAGATTGCATGTCAACAAAAATTACGCTCGAATAAATCTCTCTCCGTTGATTCGAGTGACCACAGGGTACGGTAAAAAATAATCGCCGAGATAATGGAACGCCCACGGGTATTTTTAAATATGGCGGAAATTCAGCTCGTCACATCAAACGTAATTTGCATTTTTACCATTTTTCTCTGGCGATTGTTATTTTCGCCGCCATTTTAAGGCCTACTCTTCTCGGAAAGGATCTTGTCTCTCGTTTTGTGTTCGTAGACATGT